TTGGACAGCTATTTTGAATTCCTTAATATCAGTTTTCATCTTATCAGTTTCTGCTTTTATTTAAAACCATTTATTACCCTCAGGAACCCTGGTGTGGCACTGTGGGTTAATGTGTCAGACTGCAAAGTTGTTTGGACTGCAAGGTCGGTGGTTCAAGCTCACTAACTGCTCCTTGGAAACACTATACAGGGTCGCTATGGGTCGGAATCAACTTTATGGCACTTCACAACATTACCCTCTTTAACTAGCCTCACATTCTTAATAAAAGACTCTAAATTTTTGTAGGTAGAGATTTAATTATTTTCTATTTCTATATCCAGCACAGTGCCTGTATTCTTTCTTTACATATTGGAGGAACTAAACAAATGATTTGTTTGGTTAAATTAGTTAATTATAAATGAAACTTCTGGATAGCCTGTGTCTTATTGAGCGGCTATTGTTTTCTACAACAGCAGTAACTGGAAAATTCAATTTCCCAAGAGCTATGCTTTATCTTAGTTAATGTTATTTCCCAGAGAAACTTTGTCATGATGATATAAAATTTTGATTAAAAGGAAACAGTAGTTTATTTCTCTTGTACTAATAGTTTCACACAAAATACTTGTTAAATGGATTTTTTAAAAATGTAGGGAAAGATTTTATCAAGTGTAAGAACCAAAGCCAAGTATAGAGTTTTAAAATGACTTATACTTCATATGTAGGAGGGCACTGTAGGGTAAGCACTGGGCTGCTAATCCCAAGACTGGCAGTTCAAACCCACCATCTCCTCCATGGAGAAAGATTAGGCTCTCTGTTCTGGTAAAGAACAGATTTAAAGCCTCAGAAACACCTTTCTGAGTCAGAATTGGCTCGATGGTTGTGGGTTTTATGGAGGGCTTGCTCAGTTACTACATCCAGTTATTATTATTGTGTTGTGAAGTGATGTCAAGTCAGTTCTGACCCCATAGCAACCCTCTAGAGGATTCCCACGGTTCAAGCTGGTGAACTTGAACCGCTGATTTTGCAGTGCAAACAGCTTTCCAGTCTGGTGCATTAACCCACAGCGCCATACCAGGACTCCATCCAGTTAATAGGCATTGGGAAATTTGAGGTGAGGAACAAGATTATGAAATAGAATGCTGACCTGGAAGTAAATAGAAGCTATATATATAGTTGAGTAAGCTAATGCTGCTGCTGTTAAGTGTCATAGGATTGGTTTAGACTCATAGCGACCCTGTATAGGGTTTCTGAGGAGTAGCTGGTGGGTTTGAACTGCTGACCTTGTAGTTTAAACTACCTTGTGGTCCAGTGCATATCATGCAGTGCCACACCAGGACTTCAATGATGCTGTAACAAGTCTAATATTCTCTTTTTTCCCCTTCTTCATTAAATAATTGGGCCATTTTATCCATTATATTAGCTATGGCCTGGGAGTGAGTGAAATTTTTCGAGCTGCTACGTTAGATTGTTTCAGTAGAGAAGAAGTCAAGGGTACCAGATTATGAACTGGTAAGGGTAAAGACAATTTACTAAGGGGTCCAATATAGAATAAATAATAATTTACATACTGAAATATTCTAATAAAGTGTTTAATCTTCATGAATCCTCTAACACATAGATTCTGGGTCTAATTCAAACAAGGCCACTGCTAACCCAGTTGGCTTTGTGAAATTTAGAAAGGGTCCTGTTTCATGAGTAAAAAAATTAAGTGAATATATTATTCACAGTTTGAATAACCCTCCAAACAGGCCTCATGAAAGTGGGACTGTACACAGGCCCCTCTGGCCTTGTTTGATGATTCTAGACTTTTAAAAGATCTCCGGCATGACACAAATGGAGTGTTGTCATCTGCTAAATAAAAAAATTGGTAGTTCACACTCATCCAGCAGCTCTGCTGAAGAAAGTCCAGCAAAGATTTAAGCCTAGAAAAAGCCCTGTGGAACTCAGTTCTACTCTGCAACATGTGGGGCTGCCATGAGTTAGAATCAACTCCATAGCAACCGGTTTGGTTTTGTTATTTTAAGAAGAGGGAGCAGTAGAAATGAGGGATTAAGGTTGGGGAGCACTAGCTCTACAATTTAATAAGTAGCATCCAGCTCCAGTAACCCCAACATGGTTATATAAATTAAACATATTTTTAAATCAGTGCATCTACATTCAGTCAAGAATCTTGCAAAACTGCTGTTGAAAGGATATGCCTCCTTGGCTCAGCTGATTCTGTGGGTTGTGAGTCCATATCTTGGCAGGACAATCTGTGTGTTAGCCCCCATGCTCCCCCACCCCCCAGATGTCAGGGCTCACACACAGTGTCTACCATGAGTCTACCTTTTTTTTTTTTTGTCTGGAAAATAAACCATTTAAAATTAGGTCTTCTAGCGCAGGAGGCAGGTACCTAGATATGCTAGTGAGTGTTTATCTGCCTGATTGTTCCTATCGAATATTTGTAGGGGTCAACATGGATTCTCATGAAAGGGAATTTTCCTGTGGCTTAGCTATGTTATTGCCAAGAGAAACCTTGTCATGATGATATAAAATTTTGATTAAAAGGAAAAATCAGTTTACTTCCTTTGTACTAATAGTTCCACACAAAATACTATTTGTTAAATGAATAAGCAGTTGTAGGGCAGGGATTTCTCAGTTGCTTCAGGAGACCTACTAGCTCTTCTTTTGCAGTCACACATGTTCTCATATGACTTCACAGGTCTGTCTACTTATTGAAAGCTGCTCCCCTGACCTCTACCATTGGCTATGGTGCTCTTTGTTCTCCTGGATTCCATTTATATAAGAAGTATACAGAATTCCACTAAGTACTCTAAACAATGCCATGCTTTTCAATTTAAATGAGCATTTTAATGTTAGAAATAGCACCATGAGCTTTTTCACTTAGAGGTTCCATATTTTACTTTTCTTAAAATGAATGCTTATATTTCTGTATCTTCTGGTTTTCTAAATGGCATATAACTGAATAAATATCTCAACCAACCAATTGTAAAGGGTAAAAGCATGGATTTAGTTATTAATCCTCCAATAGTGAGGTTAGAAATATATAGTCTTCTGCATTTATGAGCAAAACAAATGATGCTATTCAGCATTTTTTAATATGGGCTGAAAGTTGCAGAGGCTTTTTATGGTACCTGTGCCACAGGGGTTCCGTCAGAAGTGAGTTGTGATCTCTTAAAGATCTCATGCTCCCACCAAAATTTAACCCCAAATCTGAGGTTGATCTCCTACTTGGTATTAGACTGGATTGGAAAGACTAGCCTAATGAGCTTTTCATGTAAGAAGTGTTGTTGTTTTTTAATGTTTTATTGTGAATTATGTGATAGTTTACATGGGAGAACATTAGCTTTACATTCATCCTATCCTATATGTTTCATTGCCATGGTTACAGTCCCCTCCATGCATCATCAACCAACCAAAGTGTATACACTACAAGCCTGTCCCCCAGGTCATCAGCACACAGACCCTCTCCCTCTCTGGATCTAAAGTCCCCAGGTGCTCCATCTCTCCACATCATCGTCTCTGCCTCCATCTCAGGCATCACACCTTCTCTGGGTAGGGTCCCGCTCGCTGCTCTTCTCCACTGATGGTCCTAGGGACCTCCACTCCTGGACTGGAGAGTTAATCATTCCCCTCCTTGCTACAAAACATCTACCTTTACATTTCCAACCCTCACAATCAGTCCTGATAATAATTATTCACTATTATATCACAAGAAGTATCTTTGAATGACCTTTGTTCATACTGAGAATATAATTTCAACATGAGGATTGTCTTTTGTTTTTTAAATTTTGTATTATATAAACTTTCAAACATTACCCAGTTTCAACAATTAAAACATTTTGCCAAGAAGTTTCCTTTATTTTCTTTCCCATAAGTTTTTAGCTAAACTCCATACATGTCAATTAACCTATAAATTAGCAATGTTGTTCCCATAACTATCATACTCTTACCACACTTATAAAATTAATAATTCCTTAATATCATGCAATATTCTATGTATGCAGATTTTCCTGTCTGTAAATGTCTTTTTGAAAATTGTTCAGATTAGAATCAATATATGAGGGGGATTCAAAAAATTTATGAAAAATTGAATTAAAAGATAATGGCATTTTTCCAAAAACTTTTTTGAAGCCTTCTCATGTGATTCATGCATGAAATTTGGTTCCTTATTTCTCTTGAGTGTTTCTTACATAAATAAATGTTTATAGTTTTTCTCCGCATTTTCTTATGATTTATCAAGGAAGCTTAAGGATAAATAACTACCAGAATTAATCCCACAGGCATCATCTTTAATTCACTAATTTACACATTCCTTATATTTCAGATCCATAAATACTTGTCACCGAAATGTGACAGATCAGGAAAAAGAAATAGGTGTTTTTGTGTGTGTGTGTGAGATTCAAAAACAGTCATAAATTGATTTAATTTTTTAATTTTACTCAAGGGTAGAAGTCAGATACAGATATTTGGCTCCCCCACATTTGAATTCTTGTAGATATGTATTAAAATTACATTTCTAAACTATATTACAGTTTGATCTAAATAAAATATCACTTAGTTATGGCTGTATAATTTTAAAATAATGAACCCTTAGCTTCTGGAATTTTATCACTTTCCTGTTTCACATTTTGGGTTTGCATTTCAGTAAAGTAAATTCAAAATAGGACAATACTTTCTTAATTAATGTGTGAGTCTTTGTAATTTATCTACTGTTTCCAATTAGCATAGCAAAACGGCTTGTCCATTTGATATTTCCATTGAGTACAGTCTGATTATCTGGTTATGGAAATAGTTGGATCATTTATTTGTATCTTTTTTTTAATAATTATTTTTCTGTTCTACAATGTTTATGCATTATTTTCTTTCAACATTGGTAGGACAGAAAATAATATGTACTTCCACTGTAATTTTAACACTGCTATGCCTGATTTAAATTGGGCAGTACTGCTAAAATGCTTCAAAATTTTTATCATTTCTTTTTATAAACTCTCAATCTTGTGATATCTTTCCTTTCTTAGGATATGAACGAATCTGCCAAACAAGAAGATATTTTAGAATCTACAACAGATGCTGCAGAATGGAGTCTAGAAGTGGAACGTGTACTACCACAACTGAAAGTCACGATTAGGACTGACAATAAGGTATAAAAGAGAGAACACATTTTGTTCAAGTTATTCTGTATAAGGCAATTTCAGAGTCAGGGGTACATTTGATTTTATGAATTTAAAAGGGCTGTAGAATTCAGTTTCTTGCATGTTGTCTCAATAGAGATTTAACTAATTATTGCTGAATGAATGAATAATGTAATATAGTCCCAAATAGAAGGAACAAATCTTTAAAACAATGCTTTGGAATATATCATATTTTCTTGGGACTGAGGAATATATACACAAATGCATTTTCTTGGAAGTCATATTTTGCCTAGGTGAATATTGAATGAAGTTGGACTTCTATCACTGATACTAACTGACTAGGGCTAGAGAATGGTTTAGAATTCATCTGGATGGCTTAAATAGAAGACATCCTGGAAGTTGCCTTAGATAAGCTGACTGAAACAATGTTTGGAAGTTCAATATTAAGACTATAACAGCAAAACCAAAGATTCAGTGATTTGAATAGATGTTTCTGCTTCATTTTGCCTATTGTTGTTAAGTGTCCCTTTGAGTTGGTTCTGACCCATAGCGACCTTATATAGGGTTTCCAAGGAGCGGCTGGTGAGCTTGAACTGCCAAGCTCACAGTTCAAACTGACTTTGCAGTCCAGCACATTAACTGGAGGACCACACCAACACTCATTTTTGCCTACATTTCTATAAATAATGACTTTAGAATCTGGAAACAAGCCTCAGCATTAAGGTTTTTGAGAAGTTTGTTACTCTGAAGTCCAGTTTAGTCCTGTGTCAGTTCCCAAAACAGAAGTCCCTACAAAGATGGCCTTTTTCTAAGTGTCTGAGAATTTAATTCTTTCTTGGAAAGTCTGAATTGGGTCTTGTAGAACTCTGTATCCCAGAAAAGGTAAAAAGTAACCTACGTTCTTAGGGTAGTTCTAGAATAGGCCCTGGACACAAAAAAATCTTACTAGACTGTGAACAGTGAGAGAGGATAAACCCTGAAGCCTGTTTACCCAATCAAATGGAAGACAGCTAGTACTCATCTACCTTGGGGGGAAGTCTTTGTTTGCATTTCTCTTATATGAGCAATGCAAACATGAGGGGGCTTCAAAGAGCTTGTGGGGAAAAATCCATTACTTTAATTCTGTTTTTCCATGAACTTTGAAGACCCTTGTATATTACTAAGAATTTTTCTTCACTGATTAGATCTTTTCTGATAGAAGTCTTAATTTGTGATTCTTTGGTTTCATCAGAACATATTCTCTTCATAAAATTAAAAATCATTGTTATTGTGATTCTAGTTAGAATGAGATGTTAAAATAATCATATATCTGGGAATTTTCAAGTACAGTTTAATCCCACGAGGAAGCAAGTTTAATCTGTTTACTTTCAGCCTAAGTAAACTCTTAAAGTAAAAAAATCTTATTTAGAACCGAATAGGACCACAAGAGGATTTTTTTTTTTTTTTAAGTACTGTCATTTATTTCTACAGGACAGGAGTAACTTAATAAAGAAAGGCAGAATATAAACTTAACAGCTAACACATATGGTATTCCAAAACTTAAGTGTAGACCAAATGACATTACAGACCAATATTGCAATAATCACAGTACTTGGAGAATTGATGTTTCCCTGATTTAGAGAACTATTTACCATTTTTATGAGGTTGTTATTGTTGTTGTTCGTGCTATCAAGTCGGTTATAACTCATAGTGACCCTGTACAGGGTTTCTGAGGAGCGGCTGATTAATTTGAACCATGAGCTCATGGTTCAAACCAACTTTGCAGTCTAGTGCATTATCCTGATATACTAGATCAAATAATACAATCAAGTTTATGCCACCTCCTAAAATGTCAGATACAGTTTTTTTGTTTTTTTTTAAGTATCTTTTTAAGAATATGGAATATCATTTTGAATTCAGATTTTTGTGATAACATTGACCTGAAGTCATGTTTATTGCTTTTTCAGAATTCATCGCTCAATCATTTGATGTTTATTTCCACTATTTCACAGAGGCAAAGTAGCAAATCAGCTTTAAGGTCAATTCTTTCTTCAGTTTTCTTAAGGAAAATATAATTATACTTTGGCTTGAGAAAGAAAAGAGTTAGTGAATAGAGAGGTGTATTTCTTATATCTGAAAAATAGAAATTAAGTAATTTGGTTATAGATGAGGTTTGTTCTCACAGACTCATTATCCTCCTTCCATCAGAAGAGGTTGACTCAAGTTCATAGTAGATTTCATTATTCTTCAACTCCTGATTCTTTACCAAAAATATAAAGCTCTCCTTTACCTTTGGTCAAAACAACAAACACTCATTCTACAGAGCCTATTTATATTTAGGGTATTTAAAGAGTTCAACTTTGTTTTTGAAAGGGGAAATTGTTTTGGGGTCATTATGTTTTACTGGACATCATTTGATTTGTTTTTATGTAGCATGGAGACATGAAAGATAAATAATATATGATCTCTATTATTTAAATTCATTACAAATGTATTTAAGGTGGCCTTATGTCAGTAGTAAATAATTCCCGTATTTATTTGGCACTGAATGAGATTTTTGTTTTTATTTTTTAATTTTCCATACAAATTCAATTTATTCTTCTATACTTTCTAATAACTGAATGCAATAAAAAGTAAATCTCTATTTCTGTTCTTATTATGCTGGTGGTGTTGTTAAGTCCATAGAATCGGTTCCGACTAACAGCAACCCTGTATAAAGTTTCCAAGGAGTGACTGGTGAGCTTGAGCTGACCTTGTAGTCCTGCGCATTAGCTCACAGAGCCACACATTATGCTGTATATTTGAGATCCTGTCAGGGTTTTGAACTGGTTCTTCCTACTTCAGTCATGGCCAATGAAGCAAAACCAAGATGAACTCAAATTTGTAAAACATGGGTACCTGAAATGATAACTAGAATAGGAAAAAAGCCTGGTCACCGCCCTGCTGTAAACTTAATATCCCTCTTAGAAAACAAGGGCATTATTTACATTATATAGCAACCAAATTATTGACCAGTAGGGTCCTACTCAAATATTGCGGCCGACTAATCCAGTTTGAATGTGTGTCACTCTCCAGGTTCCAGGGGATAATTCAGTCTCCCGCATCAAACTCCTGAAAGAGCTCACTATGCCTCCTGAGTCTCCCATTACAAGGCTTCAGCCTATAATTTTTCCTGTTCTAGTTACCATTTCACTTCACCCAGATTACAAAAATGCAGATCTGTTCCAATTTTGCTTTATCTATCATAAATTAACTTGTTTACGTTTTAAGCTCTAGAGCCTACCAATAACAAATATTTTATCTTTGTGTACTCACCATAATGTTGCAGTCATATTGTTATTGCCAGGTTAATGTCTTCATGTTGTCTAGAACTACTTACTATTTGCCAGTTCTCAAAGAATGCAAATGAAATACCACTAGGAAAATACCACTAGGAAATACCAAAATAAGTATGTTGCCAAAAGTGTAAATAGTATGTTTTATAATTAAAAATAGATTTTTATTTATATGCTGATTTGAATGGATTGTATTAGTTGCCTTTTTTTAGTGTTGGGTATAGAAGATACTTTCAGGGTAATTTATATCCAAGGACTAATTTAGACTTGTCTGGTTTATAATATGTCTAAAAACAAATTATATGTTCTTCCATGACAGTCAGTAAATTCAGCCATATTCTAGGTCATTCTAATCTAGTCGGTGATCTTAGTTATGAACGAGTGGATACGACTCAGGAGTCACCTCTCTGAAGGGCAGTCTGAGGACATGTAAATTTGAGTAAACATTGATATTACCTAATTTTTTTTAAGAATGTTGTTGGTACATTGTACTCTGTATCTTGTGCTTTCTGAGTTTTTTCTTCTTAATCTTTTTCTTTACTTTTCTTCCTCTTTCCTCTTCTGCTTTCATTCTATTCTCCTACCTTTTTAGTGTTCTCTATTAAACCCAATAATGGTGCCTATGAGTGTTATATAACTGCGGTGGTAGAATAATGCTAACTTAAAGCAAACAATATTTTCGAGTATGCTCAGACTAGATTTTAATTTGTAAAACTACTTATCCTAACCTCTGAATTTTTAAAAAATACTGCTTTCAGTTATGAAAGTAATATTGAAGCAATTTTTCCAGGGGAAAGAGGTATGGATTGTGCTATAAATTAGAAGCTAGAGCTCACATATTGTCTCACTGTCAGTTCCTGATTTACTGAGTAAAGATTTAAAAATTTCAGTGTAATTATGATGGCCAAAAAGAAGATGTGGTCGTGTAGTTGGTTAAGCTTCGGGCTGCTAACTGAAAGGTCAGTGATTCAAGCCTAGTAGCTGCTCCACAGGAGAAAAATGAGGCTGTGTACTTTTAAATATATTTAAAACCTCCTAAACCCTATGAAATGGTCTATTCAGCCTTATAAGGTTGCTACAAGTCATAATCAACTTGAAAGTAGTAGGTTTGTTTTTTTCTTGGTGGTAGTCAAAAAGAACCAGAGCAGATGGAACCTCTCTCCTGCATCATCTCCCCCATGCCTCTAGATGGTAGCTGTGTGATCTAGGGTAAGCTCATATACAGCCCTATTGGGTAAAGGGCCTAGAACAGTGTCTGGCATTTAGTTAACACGTAATAAATGATGTTATCATTTACTTATAATAGCTATGATGATATTACATTATTATGTTCTGATAGTCCTTTTTTATATTGGTATTCAAGAAGAATTTACAAAATTTCTTCTGCTTCCTTCATTTATAAACATAAACCTCTCCTGGTTCTTGAATTAAATTTGTATTAGCAGATTATATCCTTACATAGAGAGAGAAAAGCCAAGTCAGGACCCAGGTCTCTGAACAGTTACTCTCTGCCTTTAGCAGAGAAAAAAAAGGAAAGGAAAGAAAAGAATATTCCATAGTTCTATGACCTATGATAATTTAGAACTATCACTTTGATAAATTGTTCCAGTTTTTTCTCTATAAAATGTATATATAGGATAATGATGATAATAATAGTTAGTACTGTTTACTATGTGCCAACTGCTGCTCTTAGCA